ATTGCAGGCAGTTGATTCTTGTGAAATTTTGCAAGCACATAGGATGACTCAATTTTGCTTAGTGTGTCAGGTTTCAAATCAAAAATGTAAAAATGTTGAAAAGAAAATTAAACGCCATTCTCATCACCAAAGTAAGTACTCATTTTTTCTTTCAACTTAAAATTTCTCATAACTGACAAAAAAAAACAAGTACACTAACAGAACAAAAACAAATGCACAAATTCCAAAAACGAAAACACACACTTTGGTTTAGGTAGGTTCATTTCAACTGAAAAGGTGCTCAATGTGCCATCCATTCTGTTGAACAAAGCCTCTAGTCTGGAATGCCACAAATGAATGGCTCAGTCAATAAATCTTTGAGGCAGTGCTTTCAAATCTTCCTCTATAGCAGAGGTTCTTAACAAGGGCCAGATGTGCATGGTAGATGCAGGGGGTGCATAGGGAGAAAAAGGTTAGAACCCCTGCTCTATAGCATCATGCAGGGATTGAAGATCATTTGTTCTGTCCTCCCTTTCATCCCAGCCTCAAGTTCATATCGATATTTTCAACAGTACATTTTGTCCTGGGTCATCAGAAAATAATTACAGCTCCTATAATTTTAAAGCCATAAAGCTGAAATTTAGCATAATATCTCCAATTGTGTCACACTATAAGCTTACCAAATTTAATCAGAATTGGCAGCCTACAATGAGATTGATAACTCATCAAAAATGACAGTTTTTTTTGGTACACCCTGTATATGTTTAGATTCAGGGACGCAACTTGAATGTCTGTTCATTTCTCCATTTCAGAAGTTTGTTTAATTTCAAAATAGCTTGTGAAATTTGTGACTATGAGTCACAAAAGAATTGGCACTAATGTGTCTTTGAAGTCATGAAGGTTCATTTCAATAATATAATATATTGGGTGCTAAATGCATTACAGTTGATACAATTTTCATGTTAAAAAAACTGTTTGGCAGTCATGTTAATATGGAAGAGAGAGCAGCCAAAAATGTGATGGACAATGGATTCCAAAAAGTTGGAAGGGCTATAATACTGCACCCAGGATGTTCTGGAATAGCAGGCCTGAAAAACTCTTCCAGGAAAGCAAGAGAATTATGCTAGAAATAGCCAGCAAGCAACAATGAAACAATATGCTTGTTTCTGAGTAGATTTTTGTGAGCTGCCATAAAATTTGCAATAACCATGTTTGAGGTCAGAAGGCTTGACATATGATTCTGAAGCCTATGAAAACTGAAAGGAGATGTTCCTGATTGGGGTTCTCTGATTATCTGTTAAACTGAGATGAAGAGGGCTAGTGGCATGTTCCCCTGATCAAACTATGCAACACATCATGATGCATTGCCCAAAGAGAAAATTCTCTGGCAGCCTACAGGACATACACCACCTTACACATGAAGCACTATCCTGGATATCACACTTGGACATAGACATGCAAGATTCAACTCACTGTCCATATGAAAGAAGAAGTGGCATGTTCCTCCAAGCAAACAGTTTTTGCATAAGATTCACCGACCAAACTTTCAACATGGCTGGAGTGAGCCTTGGTCATGGAAAACATTCCTGGTGAAGAATACTATTGCGACCCACACAAGTAATCCTCCTGCATCCTCATCTGTATCAAACCATGGTGCCTCATGAGGGTCAGCAATAATGCAAGTTATGGACCAGCAATTATTTTAAAAGTATATCCAGCAAAAGTGCATCTTCCAGTACCTAAAGAACCCCTAGAGAATGTGCTCAACCCTGAAGAAGTGTGTCTCTTAGATAACAAGCCTTCCTTCTTCTGTGCAAATACAACATAAGCAATGCATCTGGTAAGTGGAATCTCAAGCTGTCATGCATTTTGGGGCTCTCCTTAACCCTTTCATTGCTGAGGAATTTTTTGCCTATTCAACCTCTCCTTGCCTAGAATGGCAGTGGAGATTCATTGCGCTGAATGCACCATATGGCATGAATGGCAGCGAAAGGGTTAAGGACCAGTTGAAAGACATTACATTGGTAGAATAAGGGCAAGACAAAATACTCACATGACATTTCAATTTGCTAATCAGCTATTTTTTATTACCTGAGTTCTTTATGGACCTGTTTGAAATACTGCCAAGTTCTTACCCAAAATGTATTGGAGCTGTTTAAGCTGCTGGCAGACAGGAAAAAAAAAGCTAACAATACAAAAAAATCACAAAAGAATGGTGAGTAATTTGATATCATTCTCAGTGCTATCCTCATACTAACGTTCTCTGCATACCCCTGGAAAAAAGGTTTAGGCACACTTCACATTTCTTTTTTAGCTTTGCACCTATTCTTGGATGGAAGAGCATACATACGAGAAAGCACTCAACTGGTCTGCCAAAAAAAGTTGCAACACATGAACACCACTATAATGTGCAAAGGCAGCTTTCCCTTATAATACTATACTACTCAATGCCTTGTAGACAATAAGTACAAGAGTTCACCAGTAGGCTGCTTAAGACTTCTAGTATATGCTACATAAGGGCTAAGTTTACTAAATACAGGAAATGACAATATATCAACAATCGTTTCCTAAAGAAAGATGTGAATGAGGTTTCCATCAATTTTAATGTTAATGAATCTAAAAGTCCTCAATATTTAACCCTACATCTCTTAGCAGATGACTTCAGTTTCTCAGGCTCTCCAATGTAGAGAGTATAATAAAATAGTGTATATTAAGTACTTTCTTCCTCTCATGACATTCATCAAAAGATTTCAGCAAAATATGCCATGAAGGCAAGCCAAGTCACTTACTGGAACAAAGGCAGAAATAGAAATTCCTTTGTGTAACAGATGATTAGGCTGTTCTTCCTGTCACCTTGGGAATATCATTTTGGCCCTCCTCTTTGTCTGAGTCCAAGTTGAGGATGTCTAAAAAGAATACAATCATGGAACTGAATGCATTTATTTAAAAAATAATTACATTACGTAGCAGATTTTTTCTATATAAGACCATTTCTTTAGCATTTCATAAGCAATAACAGACAACAGAGAAATGCACCATTCTGTCTCTCTATTAACCATGTTGAAACATAGGAAAAAGTAATCATGTGTTGAATACTGAACCTAAGAGGGCAAACTGAGCTTTCTAATAATATAGATTTAATCATAATTGATCATTTCAAACATTGAACAGAAAAGGTATGGGTAATATTCACTGAAACTCTGGAGAGTTCATAAATCACTCTTTAGCTGATGAAATATTGGATGTCATAAGGTGGAATAGACACTTCTCAAAGTACCTTAACTGTAACTTGCTATTAGCCTAGCTTATGCTAAATAGGCAAGGTATAGGCCTAACCACTGGCTGTTAACACTAAGAATTAAATGCTGAAACTTCATTTAGGAGAGATAGAGGGGTCTTTTAGCTAAAAAAAAAAACCTATCCTTCCTTTAGGATTTCATGGATTCTTATTGAAATGTGAACTAAAGGAGGTTATAGCATTATAACCTACATCTGGATGGTCTTGAGTGCCAGTATGGCATCCTTACATGCAATACAGAACTTCTCCAGATGCTTGAGGAAGTTCTTTCTTGGTAAGAACAATTGAAAACATTCAGGGCAATGAGAGTATGAAGGATCAGCAGTTAGGTTTAAGCCTACCAGTTGGGAAAGCCTCAGGTAAGGCTCAATGTTAACCTTAGAGCCCAGGATTCGTCGACTGGTCAAAGATCGTTCACTAGTTCGGTTTGACCATTTTCTCGGGAATTTCTAGGGTTCTTCCACGCTTCAACACATAGAATAGGTTCAGGTTTATTATTCCGGCTATTAGAATGGGAACCCCGCAATTCCTGATAGCCCCATGTGCCGGTTGGGAGTGCAATATATTCCCAGGTTCACGTTAACTCGTTACAGCGAGTCCCTGACTCATTTTCTTGGAGGAACTCATATTTGCAAAACATCTAAGTCCGTAGGACTCATTGGCAACCACCTGAACAAGTTCCCACTGAGCTGAAGCTAGGCGCCAGGACTCAAGATTTAAAAAAGCTAGTGTGAACCCTGATTCCATTGCCGCCGCCCATGGGGCAAACTGAGGCGCCATTTCCGTGACGTCATCCTACGTTTCCAAAACATTTTTAAAGGTAGAATTTCCATACCTTCCGGAGTCCTAGGATGCGAATGACCCCCGTCCCCTCTCTCTAGTTTTCCAGTTGCTATTTTTCCCTCATAAAATGAATACCAGTGGCCTGTTTCACAGAAGATTTACATGTTATAGGGTGCAAGTTACCAACACAGTTTCCGCAGTTACATGGGTCGTGGTGTCCTTTTATCAGGGCCGCCCAGAGGGAGGGAGGAGGGGGGGAAAAGCAATCTGCCCAACCCACGTATGAAGGGGACCCATGGGAGTCCTCCAAAAGGCCCCGAGGGTTTAGTTTTGCCCTGGGTAATCCTGTCCTTTTATCGACCTTTGCGGCATGATTCGGGGGTTGGGGGGGAGGGGAGCACAAGAAGTTTGCAAAACCACCGGGGGTTCATCTTTTCAGTACCGAATTATTTTCTGTAATTTGTTAATTTAAAAAATATGAATATTACTCAATATGCAAATCAACTTCAGACGTCAATATTTTTTCATGTAAATATTATCCATCGTCATATTGTTGATGTATCCCTTTCTTCAAAGGATATCCCGTACGAATGAATCTATCAAAAAATTGAGCATAAAATTACTTTCAGTTCCCATTTCCAATTGAGATTGAGATGTATGAGATGAATGAAACAGTTATGGTCGAAATTGCGAGACGTCCGGGGGTAATATTTTTTCATTTTGAGTCGGGTTCCAGTTGAATAATAGTTCAGAGTTAGATCTTCGTGAAATACAATAACTAAAACTTACTGTCAAAGTTTAAACCACATTTAAACAAAATATAAGTTAAAGTTAGGGGGAAAGGGGCCCCGCTCTGGGCAGACCGGCTGTGGTACAACCTTGCCCGTGTAGTACCTCACACTATGCAGGTTGCTTCCTGGCAGTACCTCGCACTATGCAGGTTGCTCCCTGGCAGTACCTCACAATGTGCCAATGAGCCAGACGAGTGAACACAGTATGGAGTTAGTAAGGCGCAAAAGGGTGAAAGTGGCACCAAAAGTGCGGAAGCGACCAAGAGTCGCTCAACAGGGTGAGTTTATTGGTAGCAATTCAAACACCTCCGGTGAGAAATCATCTCTGGTTTTAGCCATAGTGAGGACAACAGGAATTTACCCTTCACTTATACTTTCATACTGCCATACTTGTGAAATAAATATCACTATTCCAATTTCTTAAACTCAGGCCTAGATCCAGCTAGCAGCGTGTTAGGACTCAAAGCCCCAGATACTAGTCTCTAATGTATGAAATAAATTGACAATATATTCTATATCAATCACCAAATTCACAACATATCCCACCATAATTACAATGCTTTTTTTTATTATTCTAAGGATAAATATCCCATCAAGGCAAAAGGTACTGAAACATGAAGGCATGGCCATTATTTTGACAGGGATTTTGCAGAGAGCTCTTGCAAGATGTCTGTTTTGACCTGAAAGCTCTTAGACTTTGCTGTACCTATCAGTTGTGCAAGTATTGGGGAGAGGGGTTTAGGGGTTCTGAACCCCTCTCTTTCTGCATCCCCCACCCTCTTTATGGATGGTGGGGGATGCAGATATTACCAGGAACAAATGACCTGAGAATGATGCTAGAAATGAACGAAGATGAAAAGTGAAAGGTGAAGGTCATGCCAGTCACATGTGGATACTTGGTGCAGCAAAGTAAAAATGTCGAGGAAGCATCCTGCACATGTGATGCTGCTGAATTTTTCAGGAAATGGAAGGAGGATGACTTGGATGAAAGTCATGAATGGTTACAGGAAATGAATTTCCAGTTGCCTGTCTGAGCAGTTAAATCTGAGCTGAAAACCAAAATTAATTTAATTTGTTGTTTTTGTTTTTTTTTTCGGATATCAAATGTACTTTTTTTTCAATTCATTTACTGTTAAAATTCCATTTACACCATTTCATAAAATGTTTTTTATTTCATTTTCTATGGTCATGTGTTCAACATCATTTTGTGTTTTGCTGTGAATCTCTTCTGATGGTCTGATAATGCCTTCTTGCATTTGGAGACATTTGAAAGACAGGTTATAAGACCTCTCCTGAACCCCCCAAACTTTAGGGCTGGTTGTGCCACCATATACTATATAATAAACCTATAGGGTGAGTTATGTACTCTTCTGCTAATACTCCATTCACATGGGGAGGCCAACATACTCAAGCAAGTTGGCCCCTCACTGTTAGTTCATGCACATTGGTGGAAAATACAGGGTATGGTAGGATTAAATGTGCACCATACAAAGGCTATGTTCATATGAGACTAGTAAATTTTTATTCAAATGAATCATGCCAAAGAAAGGGCCCTTGCATGGTGGGATGCATTTGCAGTCTTGCCAGAATGCAGGAGCTGGGGTCTGTTCGACTTGGCTAAACTTAAACTTATTCCAAATCTAAATCAAAGTCTAAATCTAAATGCAGTCTAAAAGCAAAAAAGCCTCTTCTTCACCCAGACTCTTGTTAAAGCTTTGTATAAGAGGAGGAACATTTTTAGACAGGTCTCACCCAGTCTAACTGTTGTCTAAACAATTGTTGGGATGATAGGAGAGAACTCAGATTGTTCAGTGCCATATGGGAGTCCAAGATCATTTCATACAGATATCATCCCATTCTGATGGGTAATTCTGGTTTTGCCCCCACCAGCCCCTTCTCAATACCCTGTGTACATCTGCTTTAATTTTGCACCGAGATAGGGAACAGCAGGCTCCCTTGGTTGCTTTTTCAATCCTTTCAGACCACATCTAGATTAAATTTAGTTCAAAACTTTATTCGAATCTGAACTTCACCTAATCTAAAAGTGTATCTAAAATCACTCAGCACTGAGGTGAAGAACTCCTTTGGCTGTGTTTTAACAGGCTTTCAAGTTCATGTTTAGATTTAGACCTAGATTAAGATTTAAATTAAGTTTAGCAGAGGCAAGGAACAGGCACCTGGAGTCCACAGTACATTTTCATTTCCCAATTTGTTGAAAAATCATTCATTGTCTTGTTGTAGCAGAACAATTTTTCATGAAATTTCATATTTCCCTACTCAACTTAGAAAACCTATATTTATTACTCCTGAACAGCATTGACAACAACATCATGGAATTTGGTTGTAAGTTCATTTGAAAACATTGCACTCTCTCTCTATTACTATGAGGGGCATTTGATGGAAAATCATCCAAGTCTACCCACATTCTAACACCACACCCTCATTGATTTTTTCAAGGTGTTTTTTCATGCTGAGTCATATGCAAAATTTGAGGCTAATCCAGGCCCTGCCCAACAGACATCCTCATTAAAGAGGGGGGCAAGGCTTAGACATCACACTGTTGTTATGTCATCGCAGGAAGGGCTAGATTGGTTGGAGTGAAATGTAGTTGCATCTGTCTTGGCATCATAGCAATCCAGGAATCACTCTTCATCTCGTCATAAGACAAGCAACAAATGCGATCTTTTTCCAGCATGATTTCAGCGTGGTACTGCATTATATCAACTAAGATTCCAGGCTCATACAATAAATGACTTGGCCACATCCTCAATCAGGATGACGGTGCAAAGGTAACCCAAGATTTTGCCTCGCATATTCATAGCCTTTACTAGACATGATTTTCAGAGGGATTGCTCTGGTGTAGTCAAGACTTGACCATTTTCCAGGATGTGATCTTCCAGCTTTGATGATATTCAGCTGGGTTTCAGTGAAGATTTTCCTCAAAGCAGATGAATCCATCATTTTGCTGCACTTCTGTTTCACTTCCCGAATTATCTTGTTTTCACTCTTCAGCACAATTGTACAGATGTCTTTTTTTGTAACTTCGCCCTAGCATTTTCAAGCTTCCTCCAAAGAACCCAGACTTCTTTGCTGCATTGTTTTTCATGTTCAGTTTCGCAGAAGCTTGTATTTTCCTTATGGTCTTCATAGAAACTTCAGACAAAGTCACTAGCTAGTGCCGCAGTTGACCGATCAATTCCAGGACTGATTTCCCTATCAGAAGTATGTGGACTTGCAGTGGGCTAAGAAGCTGGAACTATGGCTTCAATGTTTGTGTAACAAATTTTTCGGTGATTCCTGGAGGACATGGAATGGTTTGACCAGAACAGTTCACTGACTCCAGAAATTATGTATGCTCATGTCCTCCTTTGAGAATGGGTAGAGAATCTCTTACCAGGTACCTTTTCTGATCCAGAAATCTTCCATGATAGCAATCATCTGCAAAATGAAGTGAACACACGTATGCTGTTTTGGGTGCAGTAGTTAAACTCAAGACTTTGAGCCATTTTGATTTTTCTTCCTCTTCTGTGGGGAAGACATGAAAGTTTCTCAGCTCTACTGTTCTGATACGTTGATCTACAAAAAGGAAATAAGCACATTTTCCCACTGCTTCTGTTCATAGTAAAGTGGAAACCAAGCAAATAAGGGTGTGGTATTGATAGTTCAGAAAGAGAGATTTTGAGAAAACTGTCCATATGAAAATCCAAGATCGAGTATTTCCACATGGTGCAGGCAAACTATCTGCTGAAGGTATGGAAGCGCAAGGCTGCCAACATCCTTTTTTTGGCATTTGGAGTCAGAGTGAGGGAGGATGGCTGTGAAGTTTCCTTTTATGCACACTGTTGTGACGTCATTGGGAAGCCCTCCCCACTGCACGCATTATTCATGAGCTTTGGTTGAGCAGGGCCTGAGTTAATCAGGTTTCTCCATTCAGAGTTACGGCTGGAAATTTGGGGGCCAGCCTTAGATCCCAAAATGTACCAATAATCACAGATCCCTTGGAACTATTGTCAGAGAAACAAGGAGCCATTTTTACACAGGATAAGCTGGAGAAATCAAATATGCCATCAGGATAGCTGTAGCTTTCATAGAAAATAAGTTATTAGCATCTGAAGTTTCCATTTGATGTCACAACCCTGAACACCCCTCATATAAAATTTATTTTTAGCAAATTTTGGTCTCATAATTCCCCCTTTTTTTTTGGAGGTTTACCAGAGAAAAAGTTTTGACACAATCCTTTGGATTTTACTGAGAAAATGTATTTCCATGAAAGGATAATGAATGCAAAATATTTGAGATTACAGGAACCTAGAAGCATCCTCCTCATCAGCAGTTAGGAATAATTTAGGTAACTCCATCAAAGTAACAAAGTTACTATCTTCACAGTAAAAATATTTATTTACCCATCCACCTACCCAGATGATGAATTGATGGCCTAGCTTTACTGTCTTTTGGCTTACCTAATAGTCATTTCATTGGTCCTGTGCAGTGTTCTGTTTGATCAATTACAGTTGCAAGTAGTTCAAAGATATAATCAAAAGATGGCACACTAGTGCTTCTACATGAGGCATATGGTAAATATACAAAAAATAATGGTTGGCAGATATCAGAATAGCTGAAATTTTCATTTTCAAGGTCATCATCACCTTTGTGCACTCAAAGATGCCTTTTTTCTTTTTACCCCATGAGAAAATGAAGCTCTTGCTCATGGTAATGATACAGCTAACTGATTTATGTTTTTTGAGCTTCTTCTGGAAGATATATGCTGCTCAGTCTTCCTCTAACAAAGAGCTACTCTTTGACTTGAAATATATGAAGTTTTTATATAAAAAAATTAATCCTTTATCATGTACAAAGACCACTTCTAAATAAGAAGTATAAATTTCAAGTAAATCTGCTCTCAATGTCCTCTTTGCCTAACACATAAGCCACTCTTCTTCCAATATAAAGATACAAGGAGGCTCTGTCATTCTGAGCATACTTTCCAACAGCACATAGCCAGTGATTGCCTAAGGAAAACCAAGTTGACACAGGTCCCTTTGGATAAATAAGGTCTACCTTTCAGTTCAATTTTTAAATTTTTGCAATGCAGTTGTTTCAAGGATAAATAAAATTTTATTATCATGAAACTTGTCTTCACAAAAAAAACCTGAAACGTGTTTAGCAATACTCTTGGAAGAGGAATCATGAGACCAAGTTTTGCCAAACAATTTTATTGATCTGAAGGGTGCCCTGAATTCATGATCTGAATAGGCAAAATTCCAAGGTATAAAAAAACATTTTCTTTATTAAATCTTGTTAGTTGTGATCATATAATTTCACTGCAAAACATGAGGTTAGGAACATTACATTTGTATTTAGCTTCACTCAAAGTGGCTCATGCTAACTTTTGGCTTTTTACATCAATTACAACACATAATATAATTTTCTTTGCTCTGCTATGTGACTTCTGGCCCACAGCACATGAGGCAACCAATCTCAATGCGTTGATTAATGTGCCTCTGGTACCTAAAAGCCGGTCTACTGCCAACACATTCTTTCTGGTCTGCATTAACCCTTTGTTGCATAGCATACACATTTGTGGACATCATTCCCATATTTTTAGACATTTCAGCTACCAAAAAAAATCAGATACAACTCTGACATTCTTCAGTGTGTCCTAAATGTTTCTTATTTGTTTGACATTCTCTGGTGGCCATACATGGAGTATCTCTCATCATTTAAAATGCATAGAACAGTTGTTGCAAAAGCACTGAAATGCCCTTCTAAGAGAGAACTCTAATCACTGGAGCAACCACAGGTTTCTTATTGACATGTTATTGGTTACTATAGCACTTAAACTTGTCCATGTATGTCAGTGGTTCTTAACCTTTTTTGGCTGCGACCCAAATTCCGGTCACTGGACTAGTTCAGTGACCCATGCCCTCAAATGGTTCACTTGTGATAAATGATATGTGAAAGTTTGGACAGTCACTGGAGACCCTTGGCCACCCACTTTTGGTCATGACCCAGGGATTAAGAACCACTGTTGTGTATGGACATCATGCATTCAGGTAAATCAAATGCCTTGGACACCACATTCAAACATCGTGCATTTCCAGGCAATGTGCAAGACTTCATGCACATGGCAGTGATCCTGGACGTCATACTTGAATCCTCCTCTCATCATTCCTCTAATAAGAATCCTCTAAGGTAATATACATTTTTATCATGATTTGGTGGTGTGCTTAAGGGTGCACATTTCACTAGTTTCTGTGTGTGGTGATCCAACAACGAAACACTATACGTAGTAAAAACTTTTTACTTTTTTTTTTCCACTATATGACACTTATGATCACTAAAAATTTCGTACTATATTAACTTATACGAGATTGACGGAGTAGGTAATTAATTTAATCATCCTGACCAGTTTTTATATTTAGCAAATTTACCAATCCCCTTCTAAATGATTTCATGCCATTTGGTTGCAAACCTCCTTAAGGCCTCTTACCTTGGCATAGGCTGTGTAGGCCCGGAGAGTAATTTCTATCATTTATATATAGGCAACCCTTGAAATAGCAGCAATGTTGGTCATTGCTAATTTTGGTACTATAGCATGGGTAGCACTACCAAAATGGATCACAGCATGCTTAGTGGCTTCAATTAGGAATGGATACAAAGATTATATTTCCATCCTTGGCACCCTCTGATATTCAACACTTGTCTTATGCATGACTATTCTGCAGTTATCACCTTTGATGGTGGCAGCAAATAATTTAGCTATGCTTAGTACTGGATTAGACTTCCAGTACATTTGCTACTTGGTGCAATACTGAGGAGGTTTTAGGAGGAATAAAGCAGGAGCATTTGTAAATGCCAAGTTTCCATTAGCAGAAAGCAGCATTACTTAATACATTGGATTAAACCATATTTTGCAGAAATAAAATATTTTTGGAAAGGCCCTGATTTTCATCAAAGGATTGAAACACAAGAAAATACAGTATTTTGTGTCAATGATGCATGCGTTAGGCTACTTATAAAGATATCTACTTTGAAATCATACATTTCATAGCACAGTCAAGGATCTAAATGACTTTGTCACATCTGAAAGTCCAGGATAGGGATGTGCAACATGCTGCACATGGAACTGTTTCTGGTCACCCAATAATGCTGAATGGGATAACACATAAAATAAGTTCCTTTGTAACCCACAGCCCATCAGAACGTTCGTTATCCCCTGGTAATTAGTTAGAACATGATTGAGAGTCCTTTCACTTCTTCCATGAATTAACCTTTGTGCCTGCAGTATTGAAAATGGCCCCGTAAAGAAGAATTTCAATGCTAAGGCTATTTTTGGATGTCAAAATTTCCAAGGGGCAGGGAAGAAGTGAAGGTCACACCAGTTAGTTGCGATGAAATTCAGTGAATCTGTTGACGTGTAGGACTCCCGTACTCTCCCTTGGAGAATAAAAAGTAAGTTACCGGGAGTAGGGTTCAGTCTGTAAAAGTACACCGAGTAACGGATTAAAGGTTGGTCTAGGATATGTTACATTTCAGATGGAAAAATGATGAGAAAGCCCTTTCAAAATAGGCAAAAAATACAGCAACACTTATGCACATGCAATTTAAAGAATTTTCTTGTCCTTGTCGATCTCTGATTTTTCCCCCCTGAAGGTGGTCTGACTATCAAACTTGGAATAACATGCTCTGTCATCACCTGCTATCTCTGGAGCTGTGATAAGAGGGGATATAAATGCATATGTTTTTTCAAACAATGATGCATAATATACAGTGCGATGAAACCTTAGACCCTGACAGGATTCAAGAGTGCAATGTACAGTAGTACTATTTCAGTTAATAACCAGAGCACAGCTGTGCAGGAGCATGCAGCCAGTCAAAATGAAGAAAAGAAAACTTGCATTTTTTCACCCTTGTAAGCCTGCAACAACATGAACCTTTTAATTCCTAGATGCTTACATGAATGAATCATTCTCTGTGTGGTAGCATCTATTTAACTGTCCTCTGACATTTGACAAATAACATTTATCAGCATATGTTTCAATGTATTGATGCCAACCAAATAAAGCATGTTTGATATTGTGGTGGCTGGCAAGGGTGGTAATACCATGGGGGAGATGATTATTATAAGCTTATGGGGGGATTTGTTCCCAGGGAAGAGTTAGTTATGTGGAAAGGTGGGAGTTTAACAAGTGGTGGTAAAATACAACACCCATATTCTTTCACCAGATAGAAACTCAGGCTTTCCTTCCATAGAGTGCACACCACATGGTATGCTTTCTATGGTATTTCTATAAATGAAACATCACGGGTAGATTGAACAACTTCATTTTCAAAAGGAAAAATGAAGTCATGAAGCATTACTCTCCCTATGGTATTTTTCAGTTCTGTCTTTACCCTCTTCTAAACTAAGTATTTTTAAATTTCAGAAAGACGAGACAAAAAGGGGGACCCTGATATTAAGGAAGTAGTGAAGGAGAGTTATAAATCCTTCAGTTCTCAACATTTGTGCAAACATTAATTCTAGGTTATTTCTCCAGTATTCTCAAATAATTTACTGATGCATGCTGAGCCCACAAAATGGACATGACTGAGCTTCTCCACTCTTTCTGTTAAAGCAACATCATTGCACATGCAAGGCCAAGTGATTTCACCAGACATCATGCAGCTACAAGGGAGTGCACACTTTTACTTTACTATCTCTTTGAGCATGATGTTAAAGTAAATGAGGAAATAGAAAAAAGAAAAAGACATGAGCATTTGGACGAATTAATTTGTCACCAAATTTATTTTGAAAGTGGTTTGTGAAAAATGGGCCAGGTGGAAAAAACCATTCTACCTTAGAGCGATGTACAGAGCAGTCCAAAAGTCATGATAGAATCATCTTTATTGCAAAGTAGAAAGAAACTATTCAAATTTTTAATTATGAATATTTTAATACACGTTACTGATCTGTTAAAGCAAATGAATACAGTTTATGCTAAATACTGTTTCTGTGCATATGCCATCATGCTCAACACAATTGCATCTGTGGCCATGACTCACATAACAATAAAAGTTGAATGAGCATGACACATTTCAACATGCAGGGCATTAAGCACAACAGAGTGACTATCATGGATACATGGGAAATAGTCTGAACCAACACACCAGGCAATGAAAATATTTAAAAACACAATGTTCACAAACTACTAGCTAATTTGCAATAAAGTCACAATGGTTAAGCATATGGCCTGCTTAACCATTTGAGTAGTATAGGGAACAATGAAGCTCAACAACACACTTCCTGAGTCATGATTGGAAAAAGTTTGAAACCGATGCTATAACAGAAAACATCAGTTTTCATATCCATTCTTGAGTTATAGAGACAGGCATTCCATGAAAGCAATCTGGACTGTTTTCTTAAATGAATGATGAATGTTTTTCATTTTTCACTTGAAAATTAGGATCTTCAGCTGCATCATAGGTTGAGCTAAAATATGATTGAACCCAAACAAAATCTACAGACTAAACCGTTATTAATCCTTCGTCTGAAAATACACGGTTATTCAGGATTTTATTCGTGTATGTATACGTAATTTTTACGGTTTTACTCGTACTTTATACGTGTTTATGTCTTTAATATGCAAAAACGTGTTTTTTAAATGCAATGCAAAATTATCAGAAGGAACTTCAATTTACATTACATGCCTCTACTTGGTATAGTTGGTCAATTCTTGCCACAGCCAGTGGCAACGCCAGGAATTTTCCAATGGAGGGCAAACAGAAATGAACTAGAATTTCCTAAACTTCTTGGGAGGGGTGAAGGTGATGGATGAATTTAGAGCAGAGTTAAGGGACTTCACCACCTCAATCCTCCCCTCCTCATTATGCTGCATCATCACTGAACAACTTTGAACAGCTATAACTCAAGAAGGAAGGCATCAATATGCAAACTTTTTTTTGCATAGGAAAGAGCATCTACTGCTTAACATACACAACATTAAAAAAGTAAATCATTTCTTTATTTGGCAATAAAATGACTGTAATTACTGGCCATGATAATTGAGCACCATCAATTTCAGTCACACAAGCAGTCACTGAATGACAACTTTTTGCAATCTTCTCAATTGATGCTTTGCTTCAGTTCATTGATCGAGGCTAAACCCAGCCCTGATCTCAATCCTATGGAGAACCTCTGGGCAATCATACAAGAGGGTGTGGGGCAGTGCCAACCCAATACTATGATGGGAATGACAAATGTGATCAAAGAATGGAAGAACTTGGACCCCACTTTGCTGAAAAGGCTAGCTTCATCTAAAACCAAGTGGCTGAGAAAGGTCATGGAGGAAGATGGGGCATATATTGGATATTAATGATTTTCTAAAAATTCTCTATCAAATACACTACATTTTCACCATCTAAGTCCCTATTTTTAATGAGAAAATAATATTATGAAAGTGCATCATTTTTTTGTTACACCCCCTAGCTATGACCCCTAGACCAGTGACTTTTGACTCACCCTGTATAACAAAAATTTCCTTAGTCACTTTACAGATGTCCCCCCCCCCCACAGAACTCCTCCATTCTATTCACTAGTTATACATCAACTTAACCCTTCAAACAGTTTTCACACACACCGTACATTCATCACTTGGGAAGTTGGGTCCAAACTCAGTGCTAATTAGGGTTAATTTGACATTGATGCCATGGACCACCATGTTTAAAAATCTTTATTAAAAAAAACTCCCCTCTTTATCTCCATCATTGCTGGACTAACCCTGAGTAAGCCTGAGGCAAAAAGGCTTTTTTTCTGAGATATCTCAGATGGTTCACAGAGCTCTGAGTCCTTTTGAAGTCAGTGACTTGGCTTCTACGAACTTAGTTGAATCTTCTGAGCAACCTAAGCTGCAAGACTTACTCCAGTCTAACTTGGGCCCAATTTGATGATGATGGATGCTGCCAAGTCCAGTTTTATGAGGGGTTTCAGAATATGGTGGCCATTGGTTTTTTTAAATAATAATGATGATTTTTTTCTTTATAATACTTCATATTACTTAGATTTAACTCAATTTCTACCATTGAAGACTTTTTACTTGGCATCCTCTTCACCAGAATGATAGATATAAACTGAGAATGATGTATGGGGATGTGCAGGCATGATCAGTTTCGGCAGCAAACTTAGTAATAATAAAAGTAATTACACCCAGCTCTGCAATTGGCTCAATTCCTTTTGCCTTAAATGCTTATCTCCATATAATACAAATAGCCAAATGCCTTCACAGGAACTACTTTTAAAGGCACTCAAGGATAGGGTGACCGATTTATTTCAGGAAAACCAGGACACCAGGATAGAAAGGAAAATTCAAACTAGGGCATAGCCTGAAAAACCGGGAAGTCTGGTCACTCTACTTTAGGGCCTTTCCTCACAAGATGACATGAATGGTCAATTTCTACATTCCACGTAGGCTTTATGACAAACTTAGGCCTAAGTTTAGATTCGCCATTGCTTAGAAATTTTCGGAAATTTTAAATTTAGGTTGCTGGTTAGAGTCTGTGCTTGGTCCTGTGACGATCGTTTTAGGATCGTTAGAGTTGCTCAGTTACCTTGTCTCAAGGACACGTGCAGCGTAGATCATCACTTCNTTTAGGATCGTTAGAGTTGCTCAGTTACCTTGTCTCAAGGACACGTGCAGCGTAGATCATCACTTCATTGACGACGCCACATCCTCTTTCGCTGCTTCACAGGTTGCACACAATCCCTTCCCATTGGTATATCAAAGCACTTGCAGTATCACCAAGGTTGAAAATCGAGACAGAGTAAGCATTGAAAATTAAAGAGTGGGGCTTAGAAGGAAAGGGCAAGTACCACTTTCTGGTTTTGTACACATAGTTCATCGAATGAGGAGTCGAAATATTTGCAAAATAAAAATAATAATAATCCACATTTGGCAACACTGACAGCTCCCAGGGGTGGAGGGATTTCTGAATAGCTGGCTTTCTCCCATTCCTATGCTCAACCAGGCTAGTCTCTTACTCAGCTTTTTTTTTGTCTTTCACTGTCCGCATCTCCTTTAGGATGAGCTTCTTACTCTCCTGGAGCTGTAATATATTACTTTCTTAGGTGCAATTTCCCCCTTATAGTGTTTTTCACTTGATTCAGACGCAAGTGCCTGGGACGTTTCTCATGCATGGGCAGTGGTGTAGCGAGGGGGGACTGGGTTTGGAACCCAGTTTGGTTCAAGCCCCACCAACTCTGGTCGGAATGCGTCCGCCCCACCCCGACAAGGTGATGTTAGCCACCCCGATTGACGAAAATCTGGCTACGCCACTGTGCATGAGTGTCGAAGTCATTTGAAAAAATGTCTAACCCAAGTGAAAAACACTGTAGTAAGATGCTTAGCTGGTATTTGCCACATTCAAATGCATGGCTGAGGTTGAGCAATTTTCTTTAACTAAGTTTAAAATTTGAATAGAATACGGCCCTGCTCTTTACTTTCAAGTCTCCGTTTTTCCTACGTCCGTGTCTTCATGCAAGTTTTATTGTACTTTAGTTTCATTGAGTAGTATTTATTCATTTTGATGGTCAATGAAAACGCCATGAATTCGATTATTGGCCTTGTTCGATGACGTTTATTACAACCCAAGACATCAGAAGGCAAACTGAAGATAATGAGAAGAAAGACAATGAGCTACGGAAAGAAAGGCTATGTGACATCACTCTTTCTATGATTGGAAAGAATATCACATGACCCCAGTGTAGTGTTGCCACCTTTAAATTTAACAAAATATGGACGAATATTCGAAATATATTCTCAGCCACCTTAAGCCAAGGCGTCTATTATGAGTGTGGCCTATTGCTTTTGACTTTTGATGGGAAATAACGATATTAGTTGCTATTAAGCTTTATTAACCCTTTGCTGCTACTAACGAGTATACTCGTCGCATTACCCAATAAAGCTACAGAAACTCAGCACTGAAAGGTCTAAGTAAAAAAATATTAACAGGTTGACTGCCATGGGGCACATCGGGCACCAAGTCCTTTTTCCTGCGCCATGGGCGAACCGGTGCGCCCCGTGTTTCACCTTCTCCAAGGAATGTAAAAAATTATTTTGGCCCAGGAAAGTCACCAGGCCAATATGGCCGTGGCGGTCAACGTGTTAACAAGTTTACAATATGGACAAATTGTGTCCATATTAAGGATCCGTTTGCAGTAAGGACATTGCATCTGAAAACTCGTATGTACTGTCCATACTAATTATGAACGGATGGCAACCCTACTCCAGTGTGTAATGGATTAGGAATCGTTAGGTAGTCCTAATGGAACATAAATATTGAGAGGGTAGGAGGAGGTTGGGTCTTGAAAAGCAAAAAAAAAAGGGATACAAGGTCACAGGTTACAATGAACATGAAAACATGGTTGGACAAGGCTAATTGCTGCGTTCAGACACGGCTAATCTTGCCTGGCAAGCCGAGAAGTTCCCTGGAATTGAAGGTGCCTGAATCATACCGCCACCCCATGCGACCCAGGCAAGAACTATGACAAGCAAATTGGTGGGGATTTTTACTCTGGAAGTTTGGAAACAGGTCCTACCGAAAATACATTTTTCATGTATTTCTGTTTTCTCCTATTTTCGGATTTTCAGGCAATTTCGATATTTTCGACATCATATTTCATTGTAAATGCTAATTGGTTACAAAGAAAGGTTCTATGTATGTACTTTACAGAAGAAATATTCTATCTATGTACTTTACAGAAACATGTGGTCCTGTGGCAGGACCACAAGGAGCAGCGGTCGAAGGGTCGGAAGAAGCAGTTCCTGGTCCATCTGCTGAAGTTAGTGCTCCTGATGCACAACCCCCGCCGCTGGCAGGTACGACACTGTTTTGAATTTTGAATTCCTTCTGCGATTATATTTGAAACATTCTCTAGTGTTACATCAACATCGCCTACTGAGGTGGTGGCAAAGTTGAAAAAAAAAGAACATGATAAAGAGAAAAAAGTTGCAAGATCTTAATGTAAGTTTTCTCTGTAACTCATTAATGGACTCATTTAATTTAATTTAACTCATGGACTGAGAAGGCCTCGAAAGCGTTCGGGACTGTTGTAGAACGTATCTTCTGGGCAACGCGCGTGAAACAACATAGTATTCTGCGTGTTATCGATTCTGATGCTACAATGTATGATGGTAGCATTATTCTACGATGTGTTGAATACTACAATGAGAACTGGCATAAAAAGTGGTATTTATGACGGTCAAGGTAGAGAAATCATTCGAGCGGTCCTGAAACTCCATCCTCCTCGTGCGCGGAAAGGTCCACTTTATGAGTCCACTTTGGGTGACTGTCAATATTTATTCAGACAACTTGGGTTCATGAAACTTTCAGAAAACTAATTTTGCGGTGTTTTCAACGTAATATGAAAATATCTCGAACCTAGATCATCCACAACAGATTTTATAAGGCGTCAAACACAATGCTTTTTTTTTGCGCCACCCGGTATTGCTAACCTATTGAACGAATTTAGGTTTTCGTGTGATTGGCTTCAAAATACTCTCCTTGACTCTCCATACACTTCTCCCAACGTTTGTATAAATAATTGAAGATCTGAAACCCATTCTTTTCAACCCCCTTCAGCGCCTTCGTCGCAGCCAATTGGAGGGCATCAGTGTCCTCGAAACGGCGACCTTTCAGGAAACTTTTCATCCTCGGGAACGACACGAAATCACAATGTGCGAGGTATGGGGAATAGGGAGAATGTGGTAGCAGTGTTATTCCGTGACCGGTGAGGAATTCTCGGACGAGTATTGATGTGTGACAGCGCATTGTCGTGCTGGAGGATCCACTTGCGCTGTCTAAAGAGTTCTAGACGCTTGCGTCTGAAAGTAGTGATGAGTCTTGAGAGAAGGTCTCTGTAGAAGGCAGCATTGACAGTTTGCCCCTGAGGAACAAAATCATGGTGGACAATTCCTCGGCAGTTCGGCAAGAGCGCTGAGGGTGTCATTGTGGCTTATGGATGACTGGCCACTTCGCTCGTCCCTAATCAATTAATTCGCGGCCTTCGCGAAATCGTTTGTACCATTCACACACACGAGATTTGCTCAAGGTATCTTCTCTGTAGGCTGCTGTTAATAACTGCCAGGCTTCTGTGGCAGACTTGCTTTCCTTTGCGGGGCATTTGATAACCGCACCTTGCTCTCATTGTGACATTGTAGCAATTGACAAGGATTCAACGCAGCATATGCTTTGAAGACATCAGGGTCATTAAGGCAACACCATATCTTGCCGAACTTATGAAGTTCATTTCCCAAGGTCATGTTCTTACTATACTAGCATCCACAAGCCCGTTGCTATTACCATTTAGAATCACGAGAGTCGGTTCTGAAACTTTTTGACGGCTCCTCGTATATCAAATCGGAAAATATCAATACAAACATGGTTCTGGGTTCAAGGGGATTCCAGAAAAATGCCTTTGACTATTGTTACCGTGAGCCTGTTCACTGTGCACGTATTTTCTGAACTGATATATTCTATTGCCATTTGCTTAGATGTTGTACGGCATACTTTCATATGCCATACTCCAATTAATGTTGATACTTCTTTAAAAAAAATAAAAAAGTATCAACTCCTTATTTCTGCTACTTCACTTGCAGGTTGCTGGGTGTGCTTCAAAGAGGTGTGCCAATCACACCAGAATGGCAGATGCCTACGGGTATCTACTCTTCTTAGGCATCACATGGAAGCCACAATGAAGAAGCTTCGAGTAAGTCCTCAGACCATGCAGCAGTATCTTTTTATTTATTTATTTATTTAGGAATATGTTCCGTTTTCCATACGTTTTCACTTTTTATTTTAAATAATCCCACAAAAAGAAGTCCCATGAGTTAAGTCAGGGCTGTACGCTGGCTCAAGGCCGTTTCTAGGTATATTGGCGCCCAGGGCAAGGAGTTCCAATGGCTCCCCCACCCCTACCAAACCAACAACCGCGACGCGAAGCATCACCGCAACTCTGGCGATTAGTGCCTTATCCCCGGAACTGATGGAAAATCATTTGTTACATTTGTAAATAATCAAAGCTAAGTCAAAGCATTTTCTTCCACACTAACCATATATAAAAAATTACGTGTTTTATTATTGTGTTTCTTTGCGCTGCCACTCCCCTCCCCCCTTCCTCCCGCAGGCACCCAGGGCGATCGCTCACCCCTTGAAACGGCGCTTGAATGACATCCGTTCATCGATGGATGCATTAGCACAACCATAATTCTTTCTTATTGCCATTGAGAATCAGTTCCCAAGCCCTTTCAGATAGTTTTTTTTTTTCTTTTTCATCGTTCTACACGGTGTTCTTTGGACATCGGCGGACATCGGCATTGGCAAATAGGAAACCTGTCGTTGGTGCCATACCGGCGGTTGCCGAAACATCCCTACAGCCCTAGATTCAAGTGACGTTCGAGTAAATAATTCACTTTGGGTTCACCTAAAGAAAAGAGGTAAAATTCCCCAGGGCCAGTTAAAAATTCAAAAGCTTAAGTCTCCATACTAAAGAGAAAGACGGGAATATAGAGAGGGGGGTTAACCGATGTACGTTTCTAAATCAAGGGAGTAAAAGAACAGTCCACTTTCACAGCATGCATCTCATTAGATCAAGTCTAAGGGTGGATTTTTGAACAGAGCATTATCCGATAATGCTGCTTTATTTCAGAGAAAATGCATTGCAAATCCGGTAAATAAAGCTGCATTATCGGATAGTTCTCTGTTCAAAAATTCACCCTAAAACTTAAACAGAAGAGAGAAAAAATATTCTGTGTTCCCTGTCTCCCCTTTTCCCACTTCCTGTCTCTGGTTCCAACATGCATTTTTTTTCCTTCCTTCTTTTATAGCCAGTCCCAGCATTTCCAGAAATTGATCGCGATAAAAAATTGAAAGCCCATGCAGGTCACGCCGCCTCTTCTTTCCCCGCCCCAGACTGTATTGTACTGTACTCGTCTCAATCCAATGGGGCATTTCCCATCAAACATTTTGCGCATACATCACGATGGTCGAAAAAACTATAGATTCTTCCAACCATCGATAGTGGTATCGATGCATCGACCTATCGTGACAGTCTACTTGATACTCAATGCCCAGCCGGCATATACGAGGGAAAGGTTGAAGGAGGGGGGAGGCTTCTGTCCGTTTATGAAACTGCTATCAGACTCACTGGTACGCTGGTAGGAGGCTGCACGGCATAACATGAAATATCATGCATAATTTAAAATTTTCTATAGTCCCAATTAGTACTAATTCGCATAAAGTGGACGCTATCCACATAAAAAAAAATCCCCGTTTCATTATTGTGTTCGCTCACTCCCCTCGTTGGCGCCCCGGACGATCGCCCGCCCCTAGAAACGGTCCTGTGCTGGCCAGTCGATTGCTACCCACGTACACACAGTGTTGGGCACGTTACTCGTGAAAAGTAACTAGTTACAATTACAAGTATGTCATCCAAAAAGTAATTAGTTACCAGTAGAATTACTTCTCACCAAAAGTAACTAGTTACAAGTAGAAGTTACGTTTTAAGTTAATTTTCCTGAACAAAAATTCTGATCTTTCTACAGCTTCTCCACATATTCGACAGAAGCTGGATGCATGGACTGAAAGCGAAAGTTACCCCCGATTTCGCGAAAATTGAATTATAATCATCACTTAACGGGATAAATACTCATGCTCACTCTTTTCCCTGTGCCTCTTCCCTTTCTATGGGCTACTTAACAGGAATTATACGCCGATAGACAGAATGCACCCTTTAGTTTTAAAAAAGCCAATTTTGCCGTTGGTGATGGGGAGACCTACCCCAGCCTGCCCCTTATCATGAGTTCCAGATAGAAAAATAGAAGAAACCAAAGTCTAAAAAAGCCAATTTTGCCATTGGTGATGGAGAGACCTACCCCAGCCTGCCCCTTATCATGAGTTCCAGATAGAAAAATAGAACAAAAAAAAGTCACGTTCTCTTGTTTTCCCTTAACCAGACATGGACTGCATGAATCCAGCTCATACAGTGATGGGAAAAGATTTTTCACTACCTTTTTACAATGTAATGGGATTTTTCATGGCGCAATCAAGGAGATGAGGGTGTTTCAACCATGAAATATGGGGAATTGGGACAGATGTTCGTGTTAAAAGTAGTACGTATTCACTTGCAAATCACTCTTTGTTAGGTTAGGCTCTCCACTTCGAAGAGCAAGTGCTAGGCCTGAGTATTAACGGAGTCTAACTAATGTTGGATTGTTGGGAGAGTGCTAAAACGAGGCACTTAAAATATGGAGAAGCAGCTAGGGTATACCCGCCCGCCGAGCCTAAGGGGGGGGGGGGGGGGGGGGGGGGGGGGGGGTGAAGAGCAAGTGCTAGGCCTGAGTATTAACGGAGTCTACCTAATGATGGATTGTTGGGAGAGTGCTAAAACGAGGCACTTGAAATATGGAGAGGCAGCTAGGGTATACCCGCCCGCCGAGCCTAAAGGGGGGGGGGGGGGGGGGATCGGACAAAATTGAGGAGAGAGGTGCCAACGATAAGCATACGAAAGGTTTCCGTGCAGATGCACTTTCAGAACCAAAGCAACGCCTATCATTCAGATCTAACGTTAGGCCAAAGGTTGTCTGTATGGAGTCAGGACACGATGGAACTCATCTAGACATGCTTTCTCAAGTTAGATGCTGGAGTTCGTGCGACGGAAAGTACCTTGGCCATCAGTAAACATAGAGCACTTCACACAAAAGTTTGCATCGATGCAGTGGCGTATTTTGACTGAAGGGTCGGGGTGGGGGGGGGGGGGGGGGGGGGGTAAACATAGAGCACTTCACACAAAAGTTTGCATCGATGCATTTTGACTGAAGGGTCGGGGGGGGGGGGGGGCAGGGCAATAGAGTGAAACCCCACCTGAGAGATATCAGGAGAGAAAAGTATTACCTCTAAGGTGGGGCTAGACTCTGTCCCAGAGGCGCCTGGCGGCGAATACCCCCCGTAAAATACGCCACTGCAACGATGGAAAAAGTCTTCGTTTCTGACTTGCACATCGAAATATGTTTGCAGGTACAGCCAAGAAACCTGCACTGAATAAACCATGTTTTCTCAAGGCAATTTCATGTCCCCATCTTTCCTCCCAATAGTGCATCAATTCGGATGCATGTGGCCATGAAGCGCTGGTTGTTTTCAGCTAATTTAGTAAATCATCAAGAAAAGGAACACGTTACAGTAACGCCACATACTTTTCCCATGAAAAAGGAACTAGTTACCGGTTCCGTTACCCTACTCTGAAAAGTAACTCGTTTGGTTGTTTTCAGCTAATTTAGTAAATCATCAAGAAAAGGAACGCGTTACAGTAACGCCACATACTTTTCCCATGAAAAAGGAACTAGTTACCGGTTCTGTTACCCTCCTCTGAAAAGTAACTCGTTACCTCAAAAGTTACTGAAAAAAGTAATTAGTTACTGTAACGCGCTACTTTTACTTCGTTACCGCCCAACACTGTATACAGGCAAATAAAAATGAATCCCAATAGGCTCAAATTATTCCACAAGCCTGACCAATTTCTCGATGATCTCATCATCCTGCCTATAAAGCGTATGAAACTCGCCGACCCTCTCAACCGTAAGAGACGGGAAAAATTCTGGATCGATAAATTGAACCCTGCATTGAACGGAAAAAATCAGGCCCATTGACCTTGCTTTCCTCTCCCCCTCCATTCGTTCCTCTGCCATTGCGCTATACCATTGCCTTGTGACTGTCTCTTCAGATCGTTTTTTATTTATTTCATGTTCTCTTCTAGTGATTCTCCCCCCCCATTTTTTTCCCTCTCATCTCTTTTGACTCCGTCATATCCTATTTTATTGTACGTCACTCTGTTTTAATTTATTTGATTTTCCTTTAATTTGATTTATTCTAGTCCTGATATCCTAAAGAAGGGTACCTTGCGTCCCCGAAACGTAGGACTCTCCTTTGCATCAATAAACACCGGTTTGAGGTACCCTTGTGGGATAATTTTTACCTGTCTTTAATCCTCTGGGCCTTTGCATCCGTGCGGATTCCAGTTTCTATTAGTGTAACTGTTGGATGTCTGGTCATGTACTTTCTTTCTTCTTTTGCCCAGTCCCCTTATTATTTCGAATCAAAGTTTATGTCCAAGACCCTTTTTCCTGATGAAAATTACTTTACTTTCAGATACAAAGACGATCTCATAGCAATTAACGGCTCAGTCATATTTTCTGAGATTGGCAAGATTTACCTGGAATATTTGTAACTCGAGGAAACTGGTGGACCCCCCATGCAAAACGGGACACTATTAAGACAGCACTTTGATAATAATAATAAATAATAATCAAACAAGGCTGAGACCAGTACCTACGACAAACGATGGTTTTTTTTTTTTTTAACTTTTTCTTTACCATTTAAAAATATTAATATTTCTAAGCACAATACGTAAAAGGGATATATTCGCAACTTTACAAGTATCTCAAGGAGTGCACTAATAGGGGAGCATTTCAGGCAAAAACTGTAATTTTCTATACCAAAGGCTGTGTGCATAATAGGCATGCCGATATGTTCTTCATCCAGCAATTTAAAGGTTTTCTGCTTCAAAAGAAACAAGAGGTTATTCTCAAATACTATACCTCAATGGGGGAAATGAGTATTTCCTCTTTACAATAACTAGAACTTGGTTTCGACCTTGTATACAAGCTCGGATTGCGGCAATGTATTCGAATTCCCAGTGAAT